GGTGATGTCACCGCCACTTAGTGGCGAATGGCGGTTGTTGTTGTTGCGTGCGTGCGCGCGCGCGTGTGTGTGCGCATGCGTGTGTGCGTGTGTGCGTGTGTGCGTGCGTGTGTGCGTGTGTGTACGCGTGTGTGTGCGTGCGCGTGTGCGTGTGTGTGTATGCGTGCGTGGCTCTGGCCACCCACCCCCTCGTGGGTGCCGTGCCGGCCTTTAAAGGTGCCCGCTAGCAGCACTTGTACCGGCAGTCTGTTGAAGGCTATACTGTATGGGGGATCTTTGCCTTGTTTGGGGATCGGTGGTGTAGCGGTTAGCGTTGCTGCGCTACGAACCCGGCCACCCGAGTTTCAATTCCCGCTCATGGACACCAACACCAGTAACAGATTCTCTGAACCGGTCCTGGGTCCCCCCCAGGTCGACTCAGCCTCAAATGAGATCCCCCGTGCAGCCGATACGGGGGATCTTTGTCTTTTTGTGGTGGTGGTGGTGGTGGAGTGGTGGGCGGACTGCACTCCGAAACTTGTATAACTTGCTGACCCGCCCCTACTGGACATCTGTGATTCCTCCTGCAGTATAATGAAAGATTCTGATTCTGAAGCCGGCCACCCCAATTCGATTCCGTTAACATCGGTGACGAATTTGTTTTTCGTTCACGAGGTCGCAAATACCAATCGACACGTCATGCTGGTGAGACATTCACGATGATGATGATCATGATGATGGTTATTGTAATGGTATGAGCTCTCCATGACTTGCGAAACTGTGAGTTACAATGCATCGATCTATCGAGCAACATCGACCCTGAAACCTCACGCGTCTTAAGAATCAATGCCTCTGCATCGTGCACTTAACGAGTTCACGTGAGCACGTTGCAGCTCCTAGAGGCCGCTATCATCAATAAAGCAATAGATTCTTCAATCGAATCGTGACAATTAATCAAGTCTCCTGAACTGTTAAACTTGATTTTTTTTTAAATAAAGTCACGCTGTAATTATTTATATATACACTATACATCAGTGGTTTTTAACATTTACTGCAGCCTGGTACCCCTTTGGTTCTCAATTATAAATATCAATAAATACATAAGGGGGTTGATGAAACAAAGTCGTATTTAACACGTAGGCTTTTGCGACCAATATCATCCATAATACAGGTTTTTTTTGGGCGGTTTATAAATGTTGTGGATTTGCTCTCCAACACACCATTGTGCTGTACTAGTAACGAATTGGCACGTTCTGTTCACGTGACAAACATTACTAATTGGCTGTGTCGGGTGGTGGCGGGTTTAACGACACATTTATATATTTACGCGATCTAACCCCAAAAAAAAAACCTACATTATGAAATTAGTTGTACTTAATTTGTGTTTTCGATTATTTACCTTCTCAAAAAAGCCATGCATGTCTTGCATCTCAGGGGGTGGCGAGCACCCCAGGTTAAGAAGAACCACTGCTACACACACACAATGTAGGGCAGCTGCCAGAGGTAATGGGTCAGCGCACTGGACTTGCCATCCAGATTCGATCTCCGGGCGCGGCAGCTGACGCGGCGCTGAAAAGTTTCTCAAAACCCTTTGTCCACAGCCACACTCGCCCAGCAGACTCGGCGGGTAAATAAACCCACGGTCAGTCCATCGGCTGACTGGTCGCGTGCAGGTTGGGTAAAGTGTGGGTATAACTCCCAAGACGTCCGAGCCAAGGATGAAGAGAGAGAGAGTCGGCCACAAGACCCTGGAGAGCCAGCTTTCTCTGTGGACGCCGTTCCGCCAGCGGAGACGCGGGCACCCTGTTGAAGGGCTGCCCCTTTGGCCTGTGTTATTGATGCGATATGTAATAAGAAAAATAATGAAATAATTGTTTAATCAGCCGTTTGATGAAGGAGAAGAAGGGAGCGCTCATTTAGAATTCTCTGTGCCGGCACAGATTGGCCCGGCGCGATAGGGCTGTGACGCGCGCTGCTTGTTGTAAATAAAAGATTACAACCCGCTCTGTACCACTGTGACACACGCGCGCACACGCACGCACACACGGGCTACACACATTTACACACGCCTACACACACGCACACACGGGCTACACACATTTACACACGCCTACACACACGCACGCACACACGGACTACACACATTTACATACGCGCTACACACGCCTACACACACACGCGTACACAGCGCCTACACACGCATGCACACACGTGCCACACACGCGTACACACGCATGCACACCCACCACCACCATCAAAGATCCCCCGTGCAGCCTTGACTGTTGGGGCAAGTACTGTTAGCTGGTAGCACCTATGAAGGCCGGCACGGCGCACGAGGGGGTGGGTGGCCAGCACCACGCCCGGCCGCCTTTGTCTCCCGAGCGGTACGATGTGTACATACCACACCCGGTACTCATTCGACGCCGAGTCGACCAAGGGGAGGGCCAGGATCAGTTCAGATAATCGTCACCGGTATTGGCCATGAGCGGGGAGTCGACCGACCGCAAAAGTCAGGGAAGGGCGACTCTGTGGTTGCCCGCAACTCACGGATCGGTCGGCGAGAGGCTAAACCCGAGCTGTGGGGGTGGTGGTGGAGGGCTTCTCGCTACGCACGGAGTACTCCCGCCGCACAGGGCACGTCAGTGCGTGTGGGGGAGCGGTGGCACAGCGGTTAGCGCGCTGCGCTTACGAGCCGAGTTCGATTCCCGTTCGTGGCCACCAACATCGGTGGGGATTCTTTGGACCGGTCCTGGGACCCCGGTCCTCGTTCGGCTCAGCCTCCATCGAGCACCTAATACATCGTCAGCGGAGAGACAAAGGCGGCCGGGCGTGGTGCTGGCCACCCACACCCTCGTGTGCCTTGTGGACTGTCATTCGCATGGGAGAATCTGCTTTGTGTTTCCACTTTGAAAGAAATCTGCGTCGACGCCCTCCACTCACTCTCGTCCCCCTATTGACATCGCCCAGACCCGGGGCCGAACCCTAGCCGTGGGGATGAAGGGTGTCATGATTCTCGAGGGGGGGGGGGGGCGGTGGGATGCTCGCAGAAACAATCAGAAAATTTATAGTGGAGAAATCCGATGAGCTATAAAGCTCTTTTTCACAGACGTTATGGGGTCAGAAGGTCACAACAACAAATGATGCAGAAGCACGATGTGAGTGCAAAGTCTAGGAGAAGTGTCAAGCAAATCAGTATTAAACTATATATATAAACAGAAGAAATAAAAGTAAACTATTTCCTTGTTTTATCCGTTAAAGGTAAAGCTCACCGACGGGAACGCTCACCGTGGTGGGCACTCGACAAGACTCACAGAGTGAATGTCGTTCACTCGAAGGGATCTCTCCGTCGTTAACTGCGGGTGATTGTTTGGAAGAGTGAGAGAGAGGAGAGAGGACAGAGAGGAGAGAGAGGACAGAGAGGAGAGAGAGGAAAGTGAAGAGAAGAGAGGAGAGAGAGAAAGAGGAGTGAGAGGAGAAAGAGGAGAAAGAGGAGAGGGACGTACTCTTTGGTTCTATTGGGTAAAGTCACGTAGGTGACAATAAAATAACAAAAAATCACGACGTTTCGGCCACAACACAAGCGGCCTTCATCAGGTGAAGGGACGAGACTGTCTGGAGGACAGCGCTGGAGTGGGACGCTCGCTGAGGACGCCCAAAGCTACGAAGCCGCCAGACGGGGAATTTGGGTCACAGCACCGGCTGCCCGCTCGGAACAAATAATAACAACAAGAGTTTAATTTGCAGCGAAGCGATTCCCAGAGTTACTCGAAATCATAACGAGAAGGGCGCCAGCAACAAAAACAACAACAGCAGCAACATGCTGTGCAGGCTTCGGCAGGGGTGGGTGCTCACGATGGGGTTGGGGGCACTTGCCAAAGACACAAATGCACACGTGGGTGAGTGCGCACACAAACGTGCAAGCGCGCAGGTGCACACAACAAAGGCAAAGCTCCCCTGCTGTATAGCCTTTGGCGGACTGTCAGGGCAAGTGCTGTTAGCAAGCACCAATTAAGGCCGGCACGGCACACGACGGGGTGGGTGGCCAGCACCGCGCCCGGCCGCCTTTATCTTCCCAGCGTAGATACGCGCGTGCACACGCGTGCAGACGCGTGCCCAAACGTACACACCAACAGGCAGGCACACACACGCAGCAGCAGAGCCGCATGCAGTATTCATGGCGCGTCAATAATTAATAATTAACGCCACTCCCACACGCGGTCTCTCCCAGGCCTCATGGTAGGGTGAGGCGGTGGGGGGGGTGAGCGAGGGTCAGGCCACAACACTGACACCGCCACCGCCACCACCACCGGCCACCAGCGTTCATTTATTCATTGGCTCCCATTCGTCGAGGCCGCGCGTGATTCCTGAGACCCCCGCCGCCGGTGGCCTCCGCGTGGAATCTCGCCGCCTCTGGGTAACACTCCGGGAAAAAGAGGAGGAGTAAGAGGGGGATGAGGACGAGGAGGTTTCTCGAGCCACGATCCAGCCTCTTCCTAAACCGCCTCTGCTCGATCTTGGGGCGGTGATGCGGTGGCCCAGCGGTTAGCGCGACGCTCGCCGCAGAGGTTCGCGGTTCCAATTCAGCAGGCCGCCCTGGTGACGCCCTCACTGTGGACTATCCATTGACATACATGCAACAAAAAAAGACAAAGATCCCCCGTATAGCCTTAACAGACTGTTGGGGCAAGCGCTGTTAGCGAGCACCTATGAAGGCCAGAACGGCGCACGAGGGGGTGGGTGGCCAAGACCACGCCCGGCCGCCTTTGTCTCCCGAGTGGCGATGTTTACACACCGCACCAGGTACTCATTTGAGGCCGAGTCGACCTTTGGGGAGGTCCAGGACCGGTACAAATAATCGTCACTGGGTGTTGGCCGTGAGCGCGAATGGAACCCGGGTCGCCGAGTTCGTAGCGCAGCGCGATAACCGCTACACCACCGCTCCCCACACACATACACACATACACACACACACATACACACACACACACACCACGCCCACCGTTGTCGCCGCCGCCTCTCACCTCGTCGAGCACGAGGCCCACCTGCCGCCGCGCCGCCTTCGACACGCGCCAGGGGTCGCGCTCTCCGGCCAGCAGCGCGTCCAGCATGCCCTTCTCGACGACCGCGTCGAACAGCGCCGCCCGCAGGGGCAGCCTCCGCGCGTCCAGCGCCAGCCACAGCGGCCGGGGGGCCGCCGGGGGCCGCCGCGCCGCGGCCGCCGCCGCCGCCGACGCGGCCGCCAGGCACGCCGGGGAGAAGTCGGCGGCCGTCACGCAGGCGAAGCCGTCGGCCAGGAGGTCGGAGCTGAGACGGCTCGATCCACAACCTGGGGGCAAGAGAGCGAGGGGGGTGGTGGGCCGCCGCGGTAGGGGAGCGTGACTGCAGCTGTCGGCGATTGAGGCGATCGATTCGTGGTCGCTGTCGTCGTGGTCTATCCACTGCTGGATGAAGGCCTCCCAGACCTCCCCCCAAGCCGCCGGGCCAACTCTCACAATCCCCGTGATGCCACTGGGTTGAAGCAGGCCACCCACCCTTCCCCTCCCAGAGTTTAATCCAGAGAGCCACTCACCACATACTTCATACCCCCTCCCCCCCGGGTTTCTTGACCCCCCCTGCCCTCCTCAAAACTTCGACTTAGTTCCATCAGCCATGGTGTCCACGTGGCTCTCGCATGGCCACGTGGCTAGGGATGGGACTCTTCACCCCCTTCATCGACAATCACACGAGGCAAGCTCAATAGACACACAAAGACAACGATCCCCCGTCTAGCCTGAGCAGACTTTTGGGGCAAGTGCTGTTAGCGAACAGCACCCTATGAAGGCCGGCACGGCACATGAGGGGGTGGGTGGAAAGCACCACGCCCGACCGCCTTGCTCTCCCAAGTGGCGATGTTTACTGCACACCGCACCAGGTAGTCATTTGAGGCTGAGTCGACCTAGGGGAGGCCCAGGACCGGTTCAGATAACCATCACTGGTACTGGTGTTGACCATGAACAGGAATTGAACTCGGGTCGCCGGGTTCATAGCGCAATGCGCTAACCGATATACTCCCGCGTGACACGCGCGCACGTGCACACACACACACACACGTGTGGCATGTAAACAAACATGCGACGCAATAAACCAAACACAAGAAGACACGTGTGGGCGTTTACATGTAACATCCATGTCTTCCTCCACGCATGGAATGCTATACACGGTATCCAGACTGTGAGCGTGGAAGCGCTGTATGTTAGCAGGCACCGATCATGTATAAACCCATTAATTGGCCGAAAACATCTTCATGTATCAAGGGACTGCAGATCTTGGGCAATTGTTGGTCGCGCCGGCAGGCTCACCGTGAGGCTGCTGCCGTCAAATCGGTCTTGTCGATCCCGAGCGATTGCGCGGGATGCAGGTTGCACGAACGATGCTGCAAATGTAAACATGTAGCCCCTACACATCACTCATAGCCTGTTGTTATTATCAAGGACACAATGGCGCAAAGGGAGGCTGTGGCTGCGTACGACGGCCTTAACAGGCTGCTAGCTAACAGCACTTGCCCCGGCAGCCTGTTAAGTGCTGTTACGGAGGGGGTGGGGGGCAGACTTTTGCTTTGGTCTTTGTGGCACCTTGTCAACGGTGGTGGTTCGGTGCGCACCAAGTGTGGATTAATTAAGTCGCTTGTAAAAATAAACATAAACAAGGAACACAAAAGCGACTGGCTCCCCCACAGACTTCTCAGGATCTCCGCTTAAGTGTACACACACGAACAAAGACAAAGATCCCCCGTATAGCCGTAACAAATTGTTCGGGCAAGTGCTGTTTGCGAGCACCTATGAAGGCCCACGAGGCGCAAGAGGGGGTGGGTGGCCAGCACCACGCCCGGCCGCCTTTGTCTCCCGAGTGGCGATGTTTACACACCGCACCAGGTACTCATTTGAGGCTGAGCCGACCTAGGGGGAGGCCCAGGACCGGTTCAGATCATCGTCACCGGTGTTGGCCGTGAACGGGAATTGAATGCGGGTCGCAGGGTTCATAACGCAGCGTGCTAACCACTGCGCCACCAGTCCCCACATACGCTATCACACCTACATACGTGAGGATCTTGGTCTTTGCATGTAAATATGTGCATGTGAACGTACGTTTGTACGCGTGCCGGCCATCATAGGTGCTCGCTAAAAGCACTTGCCCCAACAGTCTGCTAAGGCTGTACGGGGAATCTTTGTCTTTGTATATACACATGTATAACGTGTCGGTGTGTGTGTGCGCGTGTGTGTCCACGTGCGTGTGTGTGTCCACGTGCGTGTGTGTGTGCGTGTGTGTGTCCACGTGTGTGTGTCCACGTGTGTATCCACGTGTGTGCATGTGTGTGTGTCCACGTGTGTGTGTGTCCACGTGTGTGTGTGCATGTGTGTGTGTCCACGTGTGTGTGTGTACACGTCTGTGTGCGTGTGTTTGCCCTTCCCCCCGGTCTCCCCCCCCCGCCCCCGTGCTGTGTGGATCTCATTATCGCGCTGTCCAAACGTGCAGAGTGTCTGCACGGGTGGTACGGTGTGTGTGGGTGTGCGTGGCTTTGTGTGGGTGTGTGTGCGTGGGTGTGTGGGTGTGCGGAGGGGTGGTACGGTGTGCGTGGGTGTGTGTGGATGGGTGGTACGGCGTGCGTGGGTGTGCGTAGGTGTGTGTGAGTGTGCGTGGGTGTGTGTGGGTATTTGGAGAGGTGCTATGGTGTGCGTGGGTTTGTATGGATGTGTGTGGGTGTGTGTGGGTGAGTGGAGAGGTGGTACGGAGCGCGTGGGTGCGTGTGGGTGTGCGTGGGTTTGTGTGGGGTGTGTGTGGAGGGGTGGTACGGTGTGTTTGGGTGTGTGCGGGTGTGTGTGGGTGAGCGGTGGCGCAGCGGTTAGCGCCGCCGTGCTGCAAACCTGGCGACCCGAATTCGATTCCCGATCACGGCCAACACCGGTGGCGATTATCTGAACCGGTCCTGGGCCTCCCCTAGGTCGACTCAGCCTCAAATGAGTACTTGGTGCTGTGTAGTAAACATCGCCACTGGGGAGACAAAGGGGGCAGGGCGTGGTGCTGGCCATCCACTTCCTCGTGTACCGCGCATACAATGCTCGCTAACAGGACTTGCCCCAACGGTCTGTTAAGGCTATACGGGGGATCTTTGTCTTTGGTCCGTCGAAACGGGTGGTGGTAGCTCCTAGCGACACTGCCGAAATCGTGCGGCCACTGATGGAATCGCCCGGCAGAGACCTCAACGAGCACGTCCTGACGGGGGGGGGGGGGGGTCCCCTTTGTCTCAGCCTCATTCATCATTTAGACTCATCACCCTACCTAGCCAGCCACCCACTTAACCAGCCACCCCACCACCAAGCCAGCTACCCAACCACTTAGCCAGCCACCAACCACCTAGCCAGCCACCCAACCACCTAGCCAGCCACCCACCCACCTAGCCAGCCACCCAAACACCTAGCCAGCCACCCAACCACCTAGCCAGCCACCCAACCACCTAGCCAGCCACCCAACCACCTAGCCAGCTGCCCAACCATCTAGCCAGCCACCCAACCATCTAGCCAGCCACCCAACCACCTAGCCAGCCAGCCACCCACTCACCTAGCCAGCCACCCAACCACCTAGCCAGCCACCCAACCATCTAGCCAGTCACCCAAACACCAAGCCAGCCACCCAACCACCTAGCCAGCCACCCACCCACCTAGCCAGCCACCCAAACACCTAGCCAGCCACCCAACCACCTAGCCAGCCACCCAACCACCTAGCCAGCCACCCAACCACCTAGCCAGCTGCCCAACCATCTAGCCAGCCACCCAACCATCTAGCCAGCCACCCAACCACCTAGCCAGCCAGCCACCCACTCACCTAGCCAGCCACCAAACCACCTAGCCAGCCACCCAACCATCTAGCCAGCCACCCAACCACTTAGCCAGCCACCCAACCACCTAGCCAGCCACCCAACCACCTAGCCAGCTACCCAACCACCTAGCCAGCCACCCAACCACCTAGCCAGACACCCAATCACCTAGCCAGCCACCTAACCACCTAGCCAGCCACCCAACCATCTAGCCAGCCACCAAACCACCTAGCCAGCCACTCACCCTCTTAGCCAGCTACCCAACCACCTAGCCAGCCACCCAACCACCTAGCCAGCCACCCACCCACCTAACCAGCCACCCAACCACCTAGCCAGCTACCCAACCACCTAGTTAGCCACCCAACCACCGAGCCAGCCACTCAACCATCTAGCCAGCCACCCAACCACCTAGCCAGCCACCCACCTAGCCAGCTACCCAACCACGTAGTCAGCCACCCAACCATCTAGCCAGCCACCGAACCATCTAGCCAGCCACCCAACCACCTAGCCAGCCACCTAGCCAGCCAGCCAACCACCTAGCTAGCCACCCAATCACCTAGCCAGCCACCCAACCACCTAGCCAGCCACCGAACCATCTAGCCAGCCACCTAGCCAGCCACCCAACCACCTAGCCAGCCACCCAACCACCTAGCCAGCCACCCAACCACCTAGCCAGCCACCCAACCATTTAGCCAGCCACCCAACCACCTAGCCAGCCACCCAACCACCTAGCCAGCCACCCAACCATCTAGCCAGCCACCCAACCACCTAACCAGCCACCTAGCCAGCCACCCAACCACCTAGCCAGCCACCCAACCACCTAGCCAGCCACCCAACCACCTAGCCAGCCACCCAACCATTTAGCCAGCCACCCAACCACCTAGCCAGCTACCCAAGCACCTAGCCAGCCACTTAACCACATAGCCAGCCACCCAACCACCTAGCCAGCCACTTAACCACCTAGCCAGCTACCCAACCACCTAGCCAGCCACCCAACCACCTAGCCAGCCACCCAACCACCTAGCCAGCCACGTAACCACCTAGCCAGCTACCCAACCACCTAGCCAGCTACCCAACCACCTAGCCAGCCACCCAACCAGGTAGCCAGCCACCCAACCACCTAGCCAGCTACCCAAGCACCTAGCCAGCCACTTAACCACATAGCCAGCCACCCAACCACCTAGCCAGCCACTTAACCACCTAGCCAGCTACCCAACCACCTAGCCAGCCACCCAACCACCTAGCCAGCCACCCAACCACCTAGCCAGCCACTTAACCACCTAGCCAGCTACCCAACCACCTAGCCAGCCACCCAACCACCTAGCCAGCCATTTAACCACCTAGCCAGCCACCCAACCACCTAGCCAGCCACCGAGCCAGCCACCCAACCACCTAGCCAGCCACCCAACCACCTAGCCAGCCACTTAACCACCTAGCCAGCTACCCAACCACCTAGCCAGCCACCCAACCACCTA